GACAGATAATCTGTGAAAAAATATGGTTTCATCTGGCTCCTCCTAGTGCTCCTAATGGTATTTACAAGAATCCACTGGGCCCGCACAAAGACAACCAATAAGAAACAACAGAAAGATAGTTTGCATTGGTGGCTTGAAGATAGTTGATTGTTGAGTCTCATTCCCAGCATTCATGTACTAGTGAAAGTCTCAGCAAATATAACAAAATGTTATTTTTATAAAAGTTATCTACTGCAGCTTTAAACAAGAACTCCACAGATTTTACCAATCAAAGTCTGCTTAAAGGTATTGGGGAGTACTGCTGCATATGTGGAAATAGTTGTATAAAACCGTTGCTCCAGAGGGAACTGTGTGAAGTCTGATAAATGACCTCAAGTGATGTCAGTTGAGTCAGTGGCGGTTGGGGCTGACGACTACAGATTGAAAAATGACAGAAATCTGATGTGGCAGTGTGGAGTTAGAAAGAAGTGACTTTACCAGACCTCTGTAGCCCGCTGTTCATCTCTGCTTGAAGCTAGCACCTTGAAGCTACATTGTCATCACTAGCATAACACACCAGAATGGCTAATGTAGTCACCAGGTTGACAAGGAAGAACAATGTAAATAGGATGATCTGTCTGTGGTTCTGCTGCATCGATGATGATGTCTGTCCATCATGAGTTTGACAAGGTCAGAGTGCAATGTTAAATCTGTGAAGAACTCTTAACACTTTAAACTAATCAGGTACTTTGTAAGATTTCTGCTGCTGTTTAAACCAAAGAACATCCCATTGCTGTCTTAGTGACTGCTGCCAGTGAATGCAGCACAAACATAATGAAATACTTTTCAGGAATCATTTCCTGTTGTTGCATTCATGGATCTTCATCTCTTGTTAAAAAAAAACTCTGAAATAAATCTGATTTTCTGCACAAGCGTCTAACATTGTCTCTGACGTAATTGTGTCTTTCAGGGGCAACTGGTGGGGTCATGCTCCATACAAATATGGAGCTCCCTGTTCTGCCTGTCCAGCTAGCTATGCTGGAGGCTGCAGGGACAATCTCTGCTATAAAGGTGGGTTTGGGACAGAGTTGTGGTTTTCTTCCAAGTTTGATCTCCTTCCATACATTTGCACCGTCTCAAATTGTCAAACGAAAATAGTTAATTTTATTTAATAATAATAGGCTACACCATGGATATTTCCCCTCACATAATGTTTTTTATGTGCCCAGTTTTCCATGTAAGAAATATGTTAGATTTTGTTTTGTACAACTTGTATCAATATAGAAAAATGATAACACTTAGTGAAACAGTACAATGACAATCTTACATGCATGATTTCAGATGGGGGTGTTGACAGGCGTCCAGCTCCTGAGATTGAGGAGACCAACTATATTGAACCTGAACCAGAACCAGTAAGGGACAGGGAGCCCCAACCCAGGGCCCAGAGCCCAAACCCCTCGCCCAATGACAACCTAGAGAGAAACCAGGTTGTCAGCACAGAGCAGATGTGTAAGGATCGCTCCTAATACTAGAAATAGAAATGATACTTCATCTTTCTGAATGGTGCAGTTTTGAAATCACACATTACTGCTTTTATCATTATTATTATCATTATTATTATTATTATTATTGTTAATACAATATTGTTTGTTTGTTATTTTAGGCCAACAGGTTGAATGTGAGACTAAGCTGAGAGATCAGTGCAAGGGAACCACCTGTAACAGGTAAATGCTGAGGACAATAGGCGAACATCAAGTATAGGCTATATGCACATTTTGGTACACATTTGATGTGTGAGAATTATCAGCACAGATTAGATATAGACATTACATCATTTATTACAAAAAACACTGAGTTATACTAACAACAGGACAATATAAGGTGGTTATATTAAAAGCAAAGCACCAGTGCCAAGATGTTGTTCATTTTACTGTTGTTCCTTTGTATAGATATGAGTGTCCACCTGGCTGCCTTGACAGTCCTGGAAAAGTTGTTGGGACTGGATATTATGACATGGTAAATGATCACCAATGACAATTATATATTTATTATTTGTATTACTCTATAATAAGAATCTGCAATAATAAGAGCCTAAAAAAGAAGCTAATGTTTGGTTACTGACAGATACAACTACATCTTTCAGTTCATTTTTGAAACTAACATTTGAAAATTCCACTTTTATCCTACACCTTGCTGTACATACATACTCACGTCTTTGCAGCAATCCAGTGTGTGTGGAGCTGGGTTACACTCTGGCATTATTGACAATGATGGAGGATGGCTGGACGTGACCAGACTGGGCAGAAAACAACAATTCACCAAGTCATACAAGAATGGTATTCAGTCACTTGGGTACGAATACGTTTCCATATTTAGTTTAATACAGAATCAGAATCAGCTTTATTGTCCAAGGATACGTTTGTACGCGTACAAGTATTTGATACTGGTTTTAAGTTGCTCTTAATGTTACACAAAGTTCCAAGAACTATTTTGTGGAAGATAGAAATAGACATAAAGCTGAAAAACAATGAAAACAAAGGTCAAAATAAACTATTTTGTACATACAAATAGGTGAAGAAGTAGGTGTATGTAATAAAAAGCAACAATGTCTAACAACATACTGGATCTATATGATGCAGGACAGACCATCATGCACTTTTCTTTAAATTCACAGGAAAAACAGGAGTGCAAATTCCTTCAAAGTTGAGACGGTGCCTGGTAAGGAGCATAGTCATTTTTACTTTGAGGATACAGTTACAAAAACATGAAACTCTGGAGGATAATTTTGCTTTTTGTGCCTTTTTTGTCTCCCAGTCAAGGCAGTAGCATGTGATACCACCGTAGCACTTTTCTGCCCTTTCAAGAAACCTGTACGACACTGTCCCAGGTAACATTCTGCTTTGGGTTTAGTCACCTATAGGAGAGCTGGAGCTTCCATGTAGACTCAAAACATCTCACTGTTTGAACTAAACCCCAATAGGCTGAGCCAGTGAGCCACAGTCAAACTAAGTCATAGGGGCTAGCTATTGGGCCCATGTGACATTTCAAATGGAGAGGGATGTAGCTAGGGGTGTGATTTTCTTTTTGGGTTCTCACAATTCAATTTTGAGTCTTGGGGTTAAATTCTGATTTAAAGTCGATTTTCCGCATTGCGCTAAGAAAGCCTTGCATATAGAGTGAGTTATGTCAAACTCCTTCTCCCCTGGGAGATTGTAGAATCTGAAGTGCACCCAAACACACGGACTGGCTGAATTACTACCGGCTCTATTTTAGATAGGCTACCGGCTCTGAGAGCTAACGTTAGCGGTGACTGACTAGCCAGTAGCCATACTTGTTTCATGCAGCTGTGAAAGGGCACGCGGCAAGTCAATATTGCTTGCAGGACAAAAATGAAACTATACTATTTTAAAAACAGTTTTAGAAATCTATTTTGGGAAATTGTGAATCAATTCAGGATGATAGAAGATAAGAATCTTCATTTTTACATTAATCAATTTTTCCTGCCACCCCTAAATGTAGCACCACTAGCCATAAGCTACCCTGTTAACCTTTCAATATCATCAATAAAGGAAAATCAGAGTTAAGATTTTTATATTCACCATGTGCATATTTGAAGTTATATCTAGCAAACAAAGGTTACCTGCTTTGCCATTTATAGTGTTCTTTTATTTGCAGTCCAACAACCTGTGGTTCTTTAACTCTGCCTAAAGTCAGCCAATGAGATTATTTTGGCCTGCATATACGTAGCAAGAACATTCTGTGGTTCTAGAGTATGCACTGAAAATATCCAATGACCTAAAGTGAGCTCTGGCTTTTTCTCCAGGTTGTACTGTCCCAGGAACTGTCAACGTGACAGCCGAGCCCGAGTCATTGGGACAAAACACTACTCAGATGTAAGTTCCTACACCACTGTCATAAACTGACCATCGTCTTTCATTGATTCTGTTGGAAATAATAGACCTTCTTTACAACTGGCATTTTGACCTATCAAAGCTAGTAAAGCACAGGTTTAATTTACAATATTAATGATGGCTTAAGTCCAGCACCAGCACTTTATTTTAGACTCTTACACTTATTTTAGAATGCAAACTAAATTGAATCCAGCCATATCCAATGTTACACTTCCTGTTGTGTCTAAATGTCTGCTAAATCTTTTTGGCACACATGGACCTTTTTCACAGCAGATTCTTTTTTTTCTCTTAAATCAATGATTTTATGTGACACCATGTTAACTCCAATTGGCCAATTTTTTTGTTGTTGTTTCAGAAATCTAGTATCTGCCGAGCAGCCATTCATGCTGGAGTGATCCAGAATGAGTCTGGAGGATACCTCGATGTGATGCCTGTGGACAAAAGGAACCAGTACAGTGGCAGTTACCAAAACGGCATCACCTCGGAGAGGTATGGTTAAAAGAATATGATGCAATGTATATACGGAGGAAAATGTGCATGTATGAAAAAATGGCTCATTTAATGAATGCCAGATATGAAAACTGGCAAAAGATATTGTTTTGAGTTGAAATTGTTATCTACAGTCAGCTTTGTCGGTGTGCCATTGCTGTGTAAAAACAACAGTCATATACTGGACTACATCTTTGTTCTCTCCCTGCTCTTTCTCTTCCAGCCTACTGAACCCAACCGGTGGAAAAGCCTTCAGAGTGTTTGCAGTCATCTGAAAAACCACTGTCAAAGGACAGAGTACCGTCAAACATGGCCACTTCACATCCAGCAAACCCACTCATTATCATCTTACAACCTGCCATTACATTTACTCCTGCAGTAAATAATTTGTTTTTTCAGCCTCTGACACTAAAAGTGCAGCATGACTTTACTCAAGGCTTCCCCTCAAAGTCTGGTCTTGAGTGAATCAGTGTCCAATAATAGCTCAGCAATGGATGTTTGGTGGATGATGATCCTAGATGTCTTTTGCCTTACGTCTTTTCTACATTTCTAGAGCTGACCGTAATGATAACATTGGGCTACCATGCATCTTTTGCTGACATGATATCATGACATCATGTTTTTTATTACAGAAAAGTTGAAAAAACACCACAACATTTAGCACCACTCCAAATGCCTCCCACAATGTCAGACCTTGACGGTTAACATCAGTGGTTTAACCAAAGAGATACACCTGGTAAATAACAGGCAGCCAGACACAGAGTCATAAAATCAGTTCATTTTGTAGAAGCAAATTTAGTTTACTATTTAGTCAGACCGTTCGTGCTGAAATGAATTCTCTGGTCATTTGTTGCCATCACACTTGCTCAAAGCAACTTTCTGTATGTATATATTTCTATGGAGGACCAAACCAGTCCACATCCATTCAAAAAACAGTGTCCCTACAGTGTGCTGTTTGAATGATGTCTGTGCAGAGTTTGACACTAGAGAGAAGTTTTCACATTCATTTGCTGAAAGGGGAAAGTTTCTCTGTGCTCATTGAAAATCTGATTTTAAGGGGCGGGGCCTATAAGCATGATTTGTGACATCACAAATACTTTAGAGGTTCAAATCCTGGTCAAGTATGCAACTCAGTACAGTGTGGATGTAGAAACTTGAAGCCACCAGTGCACATCACTGAGAATGGACTTTACAGTGAGTAGGACATCTTGTGCTCTCAGCAGGAAAACTTTAGAAATCAACAACATTTGCATATTTATTAGATTCTGGAAGTTTTAATGAGGTAGAAGGAGGATGTTTGTTTAAGGATTTGAATATGGAAATCATACTTTCGTGGAAAATGCATATTAAGTCTGGTTTGGGCCTCCATATATCATTAATTTCATGGTAATTAACAGTATAGCAACAATGCAGGCAGTAGAATACAGATTGTATATTTTTGTACATAATGATGTTGTAAATAATCATTGGAACACATGCTTATGAATGCTTGCTACTCCGTCCGCATTGTTGCCATTTCACAATTTCTAACCCGTGCCAGCCATCGACACAACAGTCAAACTGCAATAAGCAGTCAATGCTGAAACAGATTCTGCATGCAAAACATATATTTGTCACTCACGCTTTTATTTTTATAAAGGACAATTGTCATCATAATTTTAGTATATTCATATGTTTGTAAATATTGTGTATGTAACATATTGTTTTATTTTATGCTGCATTTCCCAGCGTTTGTTTATAGATTTATATAAATGGACCCTGGCTGGCCAGGAATGTGCATGGCAGAATTACAATTAAAATACTTGGTGGTAAAATTTAAATGTTTCTGTTTCATCCCTCAATGTGTTAAAGAGTCAGTGTTATAAAATCATGAAGCTGTATTCTCTTGCTCAGGATTATAGTTTCAGAAAATATTAAACCCTAAATTCTAAACCCCAAGCTACATGCTTGAATCTGCTCCTCAGTTTACATTGTATTACATTACACTTGTTTTCAGTTTTTGCAGACATATGTTTGAGTGGCCACACTATTTTAATATCAGTCCCTGCAGCGTCCAGATAGCCTGAGGACTGCGGGCATTAACATTTCAACAACGTCTCGAATTCAGCTGTGGATCAAACTTTCAAGTAAAATTTCTTTCTAGAAAGCTGTGGGTGTTTCCAGGAACTGCAGGGAGCACAGAGGAAGAGAAAGCTGCTTGTTTCAGGTCCAGGAACGAGATCTTATCTACCAGTTGGCTTTGCATGTAGTAAGTAAAGGGCAAAGAAGTTGTCAGTTCAGTCAAAACAGTAGATGTCATTACAGTTTACCAACTCAACTAAACACATGAGCTATTCACGTCCTGTCAATCCAACATAAGATTTAGTTTTTGTTAATGCTAGACCCAAATGCCTAAAATAATAAAAAGTGTTGATTTTGGAGTCAAGATTCACAACATTTTGCTTTCTAGGAATAAAGAAGTCTGAGGAAAAGTCATAGCTTAAGTACATTGAGGAAAATAAGCAATTTAAATGGCACCAGCCTGACCTGTACTCTGTGTTCAAAGTTTCATCTCTTATTTTTCACCTCATTTTGGATCACTCAACACGATACTTCAACGCACTGCCACATTTGCGTGTGTTCCTGTGGTGTTTTTTATCACTTCTCGTTTTTCAGCTCAGTCTGAGTGAGAGTTAACTGATGTTAGAGTGCTCAGGATGACTGGCTGTGCCAGGGCCCGGACAGAGACCAACTTTGTGTTTTGTTGATCTCAATCTCTCAACTTCCCAGGACGCATTTCCGTTCCTTCATCTGGATGGGGCACAGATGTGGTCAGGCTCCAGCTAAAAAATTCCCCATCAGTCACCCCTCGACACACATGAAGAACCCACACACACTCAGAGGAGTGCGCAAACGTACATTTGATACAGGTAGACACACAAACCCATGCTCACTGTCACTTTGCAAACTTTTTAAATGAAGTAGACCGGGTTTGACAGATTCTGAAAAAGGAGATCATACCAAAATAAACATTTTAGTTTTGTAGTTGCTGATATTTTACTTTTTATTTTGTGCTAATATTCAAAATTTTTGAGACCAGAAGAACCTTTTACCAAGAATTGGGTTTTGATGTGAAAAAAAAGCACCATTTAGACCGCAGGACCCTAAAAAACTGCTGGAAAAGGCCAATATTGGTCAATATAGTCTACATTTTCCAGTCTAACCATCACATGAGATAAGTGATATGGCTCTGAAGTGGACATGACCTTTTTCCCTGAATGTATATCACATAAACTATGAACCAAGCTAACTGGGGTTTGGGCCAGGTCTCCTGGAGAAAGAAGGCAAGCATCGCAGTGCTGTCAAAATTCACAAGACCCTGTTGCAGAGGCAGCCATTGGCACAGGATCCCTGTGAACTGCTCTGGTCAGTTAGCCAGCCTGTCAGTCAGAAAACAGTCAGTCAGCCATCACGATAGTCAATTAGAGTCTTATCCAAGCATTCAGAGCAGGCAGGCAGCATCAAATTCAGTTCGTACGTCATACTGTAACTCTATCAGTCAGACAGGCAGCTGGTTTGGTCAGACAAATAGCCACCCACTTAGCCAAGCAGTCCATTACAGGCAGAAAAGCAGGCTGTCAATCAGGCAAAGGTTTCACACTGTTTTTCAGAGTACTGGTTTCTCACTTCTCACAAGGAGTAGTTTTGGGAAATAAAACGATTCATTTTCTTGGCGAGAGTTAGATGAGAAGATCAATACGACTCCGTCTGTTCAGTCTGTAAATATAAAGCTGGTGCCAGGACATAGTTAGCTTTTTCTCCATTGCATTAATTTGCTAACTTAAAGCCTAAAAGAACCTTAATTTTGTGTTGATTCTGTTGGACCTTTTGTAGACAAAAGCAGTGGTGTTGGCACCGCCTTGTTTCATTGATTTCAAGGAGAATCCGGCTGAATCCAACCCGTTGGCAGGCATTAATAACTATATGGAAACTCACTATTCTCACTGATGGTCTTGTTTGTTTATGCAGGTCATATAGAACCGTCAGTATTAAACTGAGACCGTTTCATAGTCAGTTAAAAACTCCTTGTTGTACATTCAAGTTACCAGTTACTTTGTTGTAAGTAAATGTGAAACTATTCCTTTATTTCTACAGCTGAAAATGAGCCTTTCTGACTAACTCTTGACTTTGGGTAATATGTCCATGTCGAACATTTAGCCTGCAAACGTCTGGGGCTTGTGGGAAATTGGGTCTTACTAACAATAACTTTGCAGTAAATGATGGTGAAGTGGATGATCAATAGTACTGTATTAACAGCCAATACAATGCATGCATTGAAAAGCAGTGTATTAAACAATGTATAATACTTCCAAGATGTCTTCTGCGAAACACGGCGAGTGTGCAGCATTTGAAGGGGCCCAGGTGCACTGCTAGGAATTCTGGGCCCCCTGACAAGAAAGAAAACTTTGACCTTGATGTGTTGAACTTAGCACAGTATAACCTGGCATCTTTGAGCCACACTTCTCAGCAAGCCATTGCATATATTGAATGCTTCAGTAAATCTGCGTCAGGGCCAAAGCCTTCAACTCTCAAACCAAACTAAACTGAGTCACCCTACTTTGGTTCTATATTTTGCACCTATAGTCGTAACTGTCATCTCATGATTCTTTAAATAATGCTAGTTACAGGCCTTGAACACTTAATCCATAACATTTAGCTGTAAGGGAAAGTATGAGTCTTTTCATAGCAAATGAATAAATAGTCATGGCTGGTATTTGTGTAAGTCTAACAACACACTCCTGTGTTGCCAGTTTTAGCAATAAAACCTTTTTGATTGTGTATGTTGGTCAGTAAAATACAGAAACGTCAAATGGACATAGCAATTATGAGGCTTTTTGAGCTGTATGGCTATGCCTGAAGCACACCGATGTGCGTGCGTATATGTGTGTGTGTTTATGTATGAATACACCTCCGAGTATAAATGTGTAGTTGTGCATGTGTCCTGCATGTGTAGAAGTGAGACACTTTTCTAAATATGACTCGTGCAATCACTCTCATGCTTTGCAGCCGGCTCCTCAGGTGGTTAACTCCTGGGCGGACACACACCGTGCGTGCGGGCTAACAATCCCTGCGGACAAGACGAGAAGTAATGTGTGTGTGTGTGATGGTGTTTGAGTGTGTGGTTGCACTTCCTTTTCTCAGCCCTCCACCACTCATAGATTTAGACGTTGTTATTATTTTAACATAGTTAGCAGCTGTGTTTTGGGGGTGAAACATGGTTATTATCTCCCCATTGCTGGGTTTTCTGTTGGTTGAGGTGTATTTATAACTGTGGACCGTTTCACTCTACTTTCTCATGACACAACACAGATCTGGAAGCTCCTCAAAGTCACAAAATCATATTCAGTTGGTCTTCGTGTTTGCACATTTGCCCTCATAGAATCATTTGGTATACCTATTTCTCTTTGAGGGGATTTTATTAGTTTACTCATTAATTCATTGTTGATGACAGTTTAAGCATACAATTCACAAACCAAACAGTCCTTTCTCACAACAGACTCATTTTGAAATAGTCAGGTAAACACAGGCGTTACTAAATGAATCTACAATTAATGGTCCCCATTTCATTTCTGGTTCAAAGGTTGGCTCACTGAAGCCATCTGCTACACTAAACTGGACACAGAACCGTTAATTGTTGTAATCACTGGTAACACCTGTGTTTACCCCTGACTATTTCATGTCAAAATGGCTGCTGTGAACAATGGTTATTGGAAGCTCCAGTGGGTATTGTTGGTGCCAGTATTTTAAGAAGACCATTAGTAGGTTATTTTTTCCCCTCCAATTGTTCAAATAACCATAAAGTCTAATTTCAACTGAATTTATATTAGTAACAGTCCTGCTAGTGGCTCTGTTAGGGGCCAATTACACAGAGACGCAGGTCTGCCTGTTCGTTTTCCTGTTAATTATTTTTTGTGCGTATTTATTCCCTTGTACTCTCAACATTATTTGGATTTGTTAGAGAT